TGGTGTTGGTGCAACCACTGTCCATGATGACGTGATCAAGCAAACCAAACGGATCTCTTTCGATTCTGCGGCTTTGAATAAACTGCATACCTTGATCTGCTTCAGTAGCAAGATCTGGCAAGTCTTCTTTTTTACTAGCATAGTGCCAGTCGGATTGAAGTTCGACGTTAGTCGTTCCAGTAGGACATGGAATAAGATATACATCATTGCTATTCTCATCCTTTCCCTTGATAACATTGTGGAAGACATTTGACGTATCATAATAGCCAGTCTTCACAACCTGCGGAGTTCGAGCTTGAGTTGCATCGAATCCTTGGCGCACTTGAGCACCATTGAAGCCTTGTTGGCTGAGTTGCATTCCACTGAACGCAATTTCACCGTTAGCATTCATAGAGTAAGGGACAGTAACAGTGCCGCTACCTTGAGTTGGAATCTGCATGAGCTGCATGAACTTGCATCATTGGATTACCTGTAGTACCAGCAATTTGCAAAGGTGTGTTAACACTTCCCGCAACACTCAATGTTACACCAGTGATCACACTTGTCGCTGTAGCTGGGACAGTTGCTCTTCTTCCCGTTATCAACATGGTGTTTTGGATGCTTCCATTGACTCTCTGGTAGCAGTCTGTCTGGGCATTTTGGTGACATATGGTCCTCTTTGCCACATACATAACATGCTGCCTTTTTCTTATCGTCCTTCGGTTTACCTTTACCTTTACCTTTATTTTGGCTGGTCTTTTCCTTGGTAAAGGTTCACTCCCGGATTTTTGATCACATCCATGTGAATCTTTAACATATCTTTTGCTTTGCTGACCGTCTTTGGATAATAATCCACTTCCCTGCAGTAGTTCATCTGAAGATCCAGCATCAGAGGAGCTGTTCTCGTTCGATCACAGTTGCACAGCAGGAATCCTGTTGCAAGAACGGCTTCAAAGATATCATCCTTGAACTTGTCTTTAGCAGCAGTATCGGTGCTAGCAATAGCAGCATTCGCTTTCGTCTTGACTGCAAAATTTTGGAACCAGGCAACACCATATAGATCTTCCAGGACTTCAGCCTGTCTCAAGAATCGTTCCTTGATATATATATA